TGGCACAGGAACCACTGAGCAGACTTGTGCTGAGCGGAGCCACACTGTGGTTTGGAGTCCCTTTTGCTCCTCACAAAGAAGCCGTGCAGAGAGGCCAAGGAAACCTAGAGATGAGGTCTCAGAGTAGGACCTGGGCGTGGCCAGGGTGGCCGGCCTTGCACAAGCGAGGTCCCCTCCAACTGGATAGAATGTAAGAAGCCACTTGTCCACTCGGATCCCTCCAGGCAGCCCAGTCATAGGAGCCCAAAAGAGTCCCTTGCCCCCCTCAGCCTCACCTGTGACACCCATCCCTACTGCCCACTTACAGGCCTGCAGGCTGCCATGGGCAAGAATTAACAGCCTGAGAAGGCCAAGCACAGGGAAGCTTGCACAGCTCCAGGCAGGTGCGGCCCTTTCCAGGATTTGGTCCCCACCACCCATCAGGGGACGTGGCCAAGGGGAAGCTCAGAATCCCAGGTCCCCTTCCCCACCAAGTCCCAATAACTAAATCTCTCAGATCTATCCATCCCCACTGGGATCCAGAGCCTCTCCTCCCCCAGCCCCCCAGGGAAGTGGAGGGACAGACTCTCAGCCAAGTAGGGGGCCCCGGGGTCCTAAGGAGAGACTGGCTCTGCTCCTTTTGTTGGCTCACAGGAGGGGGACACACGCCCTGTGTGCACAGAGGTTTCAACTGACAACTTGATAGACCCCATAAGGCTTTCGGCAAAGGCCTCCCGCCCCTGCCCCCCATGCGTGAAGATAATGGTGAGGTGTGGGCCCCGGCACATCTCAGATCTTGGCTCCAAAGGCCCTCCTGCCTTCTGTTTTCTTCCTCCAGCTCAGCTTGCCCACAGGTTCCCAGAGACTCTTGGCAGCTCGCTCCCAGGAGAATGAAGTTGTGCGCTGCGTGGGAAGCAGTTAGACAGCGAGAGCGTTGCAGCCTCGTTAATGAGAGACAATAGCTCTTCTTGGAGCCATTAAGCCGCAGCTTCAGAGATGGGGAACCCCAATTAGAAAGGAGTGAGAGAAGAGGAAGGCCTGAGAGACGCCTGTAGGACAGATCCGTATCTTTGGTGGCTCTGTGGGACCCATGGGTGGAGATCTAGCTGGTTGGGTTTAGCATCTCCTTTCCTCCTTATGGTAACACATCCCAGTGACTGTAGAGCCAGCCCACAGTAGTGACCCTTCAAAATACACACGTTGAAGGAGGAGGAAAAATTGTTGGGGAGAAGCGTTTCTCCGTGAGTCTGTAGCTCAGATGTTATAATCCAAGAGTAAGAAAGGAAATGATATTTATTTAATTTGAGGACGAGCTCTGTAAGTTTGGCTGCATTATATATGTGTGTGCATACGGATATTGGTATATAGCTGATGGCTCCCTTTTGCTCTGGCTTTCAGCTGAATCACATCATGTTTACAGCAAGATAATAATCCTGGATTTTCCATGGCTCAGTCTCTCGGAGTGTTAGATCTTGAATTCATTAGCAGTCATCTCCCTTTAAATGTCAGATAACATTTTAAATGCCAAGAACTTACGCAACACCTTCTGTGCAATTCAAATCAGCTTTACCCCATTAGCTCATTAATCTTCATTGTTTCATTTACTGAAGGGAAAGGCTTCCAGGTGTTTTTAGCAGGACATAGAAATATTAAAGTATGTACAGGTGAAGGAAGGGGTTTTGACTTTCTGCTCAACATTTCACCCGTCCATCCGTGTTGTGATCATCCCCACTACAGCATGCACATAAACGAAACAAAAAAGCTCCAGGCATCTCTGGTTTCTTCTACTTCCCCCATCTTCACCCTTCTGTCTAACTTTGTGTTTTCTTCTCCCTTCTACACCTTCAGAGACCTTGACTTCTGTTCACTACTTATTCTGCAGTCTTTGCTCTCAAAATAGCCCAAGAGCTGCAAGTGTCCATTCTGATGGCTCAGAAAACAGAGGGGTGCCTCACATGGTCAGGGATGGGGCCCAGGAGGCTGGGGCAGAACAGGCAGACATCAGGAATTCTACTTTCCTTTTCAAAGAATCCCTGCTTGGTCTTACCTCTGAATAATCAGCTACACTGACTGCTAAAGATAGATCCTTCCAGGAATAGCTCCTAATTGTCACCCAGCTCTCTGCTCAAATGTCACCTCCTCAGAGAGGTCTTCCTTGATCACCAAAGGCAAGTCCCACCCCTTCCCCATCAACCTCCATCCTGTCATCATTTCATTGTCTTCTTAGATTTATCACTCCCTAAAATCCTGCTTATTTGTGTGTTTGTTTGTCTGACACATACACTATCACTCAGTAAATATCAATTTAATGAATCAATGAAAAACCACCCCTCAGTGGTTGAGCGTCGACCTATGAACCAGGAGGTCACAGTTCAATTCCCGGTCAGGGCATGTGACCATGTTGTGGGCTCGATCTCCAGTGTGGGGTGTGCAGGAGGCAGCAGATCAATGATTTCCTCTCATCATTGATGTTTCTATCTCTCTGTCTCCTCTCCCTTCCTCTCTGAAATCAATAAAAATATATTTTTAAAAAATAAACAGCCCCAAAGCGTAGCTTTCTTTCCTGGTTTCAATTTTCTTTTTCTCCTCTTCTCACTACCTCTCAGAATCCTCTTTATATATTTCATCTTTCCTTTCCTCCCATCTCCCAAGCCCCCTTTCACTATCATTAATTTGTTAGAACTCTTGAACATAATAAGCAAACAGTACTTCACATTCCAGTGACGACAGAGCCTTCATTGAAAACATTCCATTAAGCTAGAATTGATGGCCCCTAGATGTTAGAGAGATGAGCCATATAGTCAAGAGAATTGTTGTATCAAAAGATTTATAGGCCAAGTGCTTTAAAGGGACTTTCTCAAAGCCTCCCAACTCCCCACTCTTCAATCTGAACTCCACATGAGGAGTTACAGTAATTCCAGCCATTGGGACTGGTCTTGGCTATGCTGTTTGTCCTCCAGCCCAACACAAAATTGTCTCTTGGAGATAATGGAGAAATTTCCCTTAAATCAGTATTGTCAGATTTCTACTATTCCACCCAGTGATTCATGAATGATTTTGGAAGCTAGAAAGCTTGAAATGCTTTGCGGATTCTAGCTTGGACAAAATGCGTTCATTTGATCTAGAAACAGGGCTATCTCACCCGGAGAAGCTAATCAGCTATGGCTGAGATAACCAAAAAAAAAAAAAAATTGGCTATGTGTTTGTCTTTAACTCTAGCCATATTTCAAAACAAAGGAAAAGGGTGTGGATGTTCATTGGAATGATGGCTGTTTGTGGGGACCCACTAACCATTAATTCATCATTAATACTTAAAAGTAATATAAATGCTATGGGAGGGGATGTTTCTGACAGCCCAGAGAAACAGACTTCTGAGAGTGAGTCTCCTAGAAAATATGGAAATGATCAAGTCCACGCCCAGGGTGATCTCATGGCACACTAATGTATGCAACCCCAGCAAGTCAGCCCTTGGGGATAGTTATTCTTTTGTTCAGCAAATATGTATCAAGTGGCCCTGGCTGTTGCTCAGTGGTTAGAGCGTCCACCTGCAAAATGAAGGGTCTCAGGTTCGATTCCAGTCAAGGGCACGTGCCTCGGTTGCAGCCTCAGTTCCCAGCCCTGGTCGGGGCGTCATTGTAGACACTGGCGGGAGTGCCCGGTGCCCTGGGATGTCATGAGCAGCACAGAGGAGCCAGACCTGAAGGATGAGAAGGGACTGGAAGAGAGGAGTATGTTCCCAGGAGAAGGCAGGGCCTGCTTGATGGCCTTGTCCAGGAGTTGAAAGGTCAGCACTGAGAGCAGTCCTTTGAACCTGCTGTTTCCGCAGTGAGGTAAGCACTTCCGTCAGAGAGCCCCGCAGACCCTTCGCCTGCTGCAGAGCTCAAACACTGCTTTCTTGTAGGACCTTCCCTGGCAACCCTGCTTAAAACTGCAGCCTCCATGCCATTCCCAGATACTCCCCGCTCCCCTCTTTGCTGTATTTTTCTCTATATCACGAATCACCTTCAGACGTAACTTACGGTCTACTTGCTTATTACCTCCCTCTCAGGGGAATGCATGTGCAGTTTCATAGGGTGGCGCCTCTGTCTGCTTCTTGTGCTGCCGTATCTGCTCTGCCCGGCATAGAGAAGTCGCTCAATAAATATCTGTTGAATGACTAAATGAGGCAGGAGAGATTGTCCAGGGCCAGGCAGAAAGGGTCTTGTAAACCTTTTTAGCCGGTTGGCCTTCATGCTGAGGGCAAAGGCCGTTGAAGGTCTTAAGCCGAGGAGGGACACTGGTTCGCATCTCAGAACAATCACCCGTGCTGCTGTAAGGGCTTGGGCTGGAAAGCAACCTCAGATCCAACTGTGTTGTGCATTGGAACAGGGCACCATCTGCATGTTGTGGTGACAGGAGAAGGCAAGGCCCCAAGACTGCGGAGCCCCTGGGACCTCCCAGACTCCTCTATTCGCTCATTCCTCCTTCCCTCTCTGCTCGATTTGCTCAAGTGACTCTTCCTCACACAGCAAACATGTTTCACATTTGGAAATAAACTGGAACCTTGCTATGACTCTATTTGGTGCAAGGCAGATTTAATAACCATCCATGGAAGCTACAGAAGTATCAAAACCATCTCATTAAGAAAGGAGTCTTGGGAAGATGGGGATTTCAACTGTGTGGCTTTGGGCAAGTTACTTCACCTCCTGGAGCCTCCGGTTCCTCGTCTGTGAAATGGGAATAAGAGTATCTGCCTCACAGGGTAGTTGTGAGGATGAAGTAAAGTGATTACAACCCTGGAACATAGTAATGTGCCTTTCTCCACTTCCCCATCACACCAGCTCCAGGTATGAATTAATAACCAGTCTCGGGTTATGCTGTGTACATAGGGTCCCCTGTGTCTTCCCTGGTAAAAATAGGTGTTACTATTAGTGTTCCAGCGATGAAAAGTCACTTTCTATAAATATTTGGGGATTTAGACTCACTCTGGTCGCACTGTATATCATTCCTATGAAAGGTGGGCTTTCTGCTTCTCTTCACAGGCAGCCCTGCGGACCTTCGAGGCAGCAGCTCAGAAGGCAGGAGAGCCTCAAAGTTGTATAAATAAAGGGCTGATATGTTCAAACAGAAAAGAATTTTGCACGCGCAAGCTGCTCGTCGACATGACACCGTTCCTGAAGGTGATCTCACACTGAGAGGACGAGGGGGTTTATAGACACACACGCAGGCGTTCCGGTTAATACACTTCTGCATGGTACAAAACAGCCTCAGAAGTCCCTCGGAGTTCCTGCTTTATCAGAAGGGACAGAAAATAGGCAGTTTGTAGCAGATGAAGAAAGAACAAATTAGGACAGTAATCGCAGCCAGCCGCCAGGGACAAATCAGTTGGGTATCTGGTTGGGATGGTGGGGGACAGGGAACAGAGAGGAGAAAGGATAACCTTGAACTTGAACCACCCCATAATAAAACAGGCAGATATAATTCACTTTATCTTAATAGCAGTTCAAATAATTGTTACCGTTTTACCACTGAAACTTGGTAGAGCTGATATTCCTACTGTGGAGAAGACTAGTTCTTGAGTTAGCTATTTAGAAGTCAACTGCAAATCCTATTCCAGATATCTCATCTTGTTTCCTATTCTCCCGAGCTCAGCTTCACACCTAGTTTAGGGTACTGAGTGCCTGTTGTAGAGATGTCATTTGTCCATCTTTGCAGTACTCCTTTCTGCCCAATTTAACACCGCACCTGCACATGGGAGGTAGCCATAAATGCCCCATAAATTGATCCCCCTTTTCATCCCATAGCCCTCTGGCTTAGGGTCTTCTTCCTACCCATTCTTGCCCACCTCAGAGCTGAATGAACTAGAAATAAATGACCATGGAGTAAAAGAAAGTCGTCAAGAACAAAGCAAGGCTTGGGATGGAAGGGTCTCAGATCCTTCATGCTACCCTCTAGAGAGGACAAAATCCCAGCCCTTGGATAAGAAGTGACTAGGAAAGACAGAAACCCAATACATGCTTTGTGGCTTTTAGCCAGTGCTGTAAACTGGCAGAGACTTTGCAGACCATGAGGGTCACCTTCCTAACCTCCGCTAAGCCAGGGTTCTCGTGTTACATCTTCTCTGGTCCACTCCCTTCTCAGCTCTGCAAGGTGGGGCTTTGAGTCAGAGTCCTGTATTTGCCCCAAATCTCTTCCCTGCATGGCTGGGCTCTGCGTTCCTGTTTCCTCTTAGATAGGCTCTTCCCTGTGGTGGCAAGATGACCACCGGCTTCTCTTTTCCAGATTATTCTAGAAATGAATCTCATTGACCCGACTTGGGTCACATGTCCATGCCCAAATGAATCAACATGGCCAGGGGGATGGAATACATTGATTGGCCCAGCCTGGAACCGCAGGGACGAGGGGTGGGGAGGGGAGAAGTGTCTCAAAAAGGAAAACAGGATCTTTAAAATCTGAATAAGAGAGAATGATTCCGGGCAACAAAAGATATTTGCTACAAGCATTCAAAATAATTGCCTTGATTTCGCATTTATTATATTAGTTTGGTAGGGCTACTATGACAAAGTGCCATAGACTGAGCGGCTTAAACAACAGGAATTTATTTTCTCACAATTCTGGAGGCTAGAAGTCCAAGATCAAGGTGTTAGCAGGTTTGATTTCTTCTGAGGCCTCTCATTGGCTTGTAGATAGCCTTCTTCTCCATGTATCTTCACACGATCTTCCCTTTGGGGTTGTCGGTGTCCTTATCTCATGGTGAATTAGGGCCCACTCTGATGATCTCATTTTACCACTTTAACAACCCTGTCTCCAAATGCAGTGGCATTCTGAGGTGCTGAGGGTGGACTTTAACATGTGAATTTTGTAGGAACCTAGTTCAGCCCAAAACACTTATATTAATGAAACCAGCCTTTTTTTTTTTTTCTTCTTTGCAACAGTTTAGTTCTCCCCTTAGGGCTTGAAGAACTGTGGTTGGTACTTTCTGGGATGAGGTAACATCATCATTGTCACTGTTCATTCATTCAACCCATAGTGAGCATCTTCTACCTAGTATGTGTCTGCGCTTGCTGGGCGTTCGGGATACATCATCAGCAAACAAAACAGACTGAGATCCTTATCCTGCTCCAGGCAGTGTGTACAGTATGTTAAAAGGTGCTTATTGCTATGAAAGTGAGATAAGGAGATATTTATGGAGCATCTAGAAACCGCAGAATTCAGACTGAGGAATTTTACAATAATTTTTTGTGTATTTAGTGTCCACAAGGCTTTTGTGTTGCACTTTTCGCTCAGCAATTTCGGCGTCATATTATTATTACACACTACATTATATACCATACACCATATATGTATATACACTACACATATGATACACCATATTATAGAGAGAAAGGCACTGTCATTCTGAAGGCCCACTTTCCAGTCCACCCTCTCCACGATACAGAAGTTGTAACTCAGCCTGCTTCTGTAGGCGACTCATGGAGCACACACTAAGCTTTCTGACCCCCAGACCATCCTTGCCCATAAGACCACAACTAAGGGGGAGATCAAGAGAAACAAATGCTACCCAGTACAGTGTTGTCGCAGAGGCAGGCTCAGGCTGCGATGGGAAAGACTCGTTCCTTTCTTAGTTGTTAATGTGAATCCTCCTCAAATTTAAGAACCTCCTTAAACACTGAAGGCAACACTATTAGCCCATTTTATAAGAAAATCTTATCAGGCTTAGATTTGGGAACACATGATTGATCCAGAGTAATCTGGGTTCACATAAAAATTGAAGCACTTTTTTAAATCTATTTTTGAAAAAGAAATGGTAATTGATGAATAAATTATAACAGAGATTCCCCCCCCCCCAAGAACTTTAGTAAATTATCAGGGTTAGGGAGTGGGGGGGGGGGGAATAGCAATAACACCAATTAATACTAGATATAGAATTGAATATGCTTATACTCAACATTGACATCAAAGGATAGGTACGTTCTACCCAGAAGATGTGGAGAATCAAGAAAAGCTCCACCTTACAGTCATCACACAGACAGGTATCGCTTGGTGCCCTCAAACTAGAGGTAGAGGAGGAACCTGCCTGAAATCAGTACAAGACTTGGAGCAGCATTGCCCAACACCCACACCCCCTGTCTGGGGCCAGCCCCAGGTTTCACTTATGCAGGCAGGTGTGGGCACATCCCACCAGGCAGAGGGTGACTGCCCCCGCCACTGTGATTATGTGGGGGAGGGCCAGCATGGTCCCGTGAGTGGAAGTAACAGGGAAATAATGTTTGGCTTCCAACATTGCTCAGAGACGGAGCGGCCCCTTAGGAAAGAAGTTTCGGTGCCTTACGTCCTTTAAACGTGCTTCCTTGGCCACTGATGGGACAGCTGTAGAGGGATAACAAGCTAGTTTTGAAATGCAATGATTCCAGGACACGTGAACAATAACATTGCAAGGAAAAATTTTCAGGGCATGGGGCCTATTACATTTCCTAAAGATAGAGGCCCAGTAGACTCTTATCTATATTAAAGGATCAGACCGGGAGCGACCCTGAGTGACCTTGTAAGGTTCCTGGGACTCCACTTTCTCTTTAGGAAAATAAAGATAATAATACTGGGATCTCCATACCTGCCTCTCAACAGTGAGGCAAGAATTATATGAAATAGTAATTTTCAAAGAGTGTTCACATCTATAAAGGATTCAATTTACAGAGGAGAAAGGAACATTGATTGATCCCTGCTAAGAGCCAGGCCCCACACATACTGAATCTTATTTCATTTTCCCCACCTCCCTCTCGGTATGTGTGCAGAACTCCACTGTGCAGATGAGGAAAGTGAGGATTGGTGAGATGAGATGATGACTCACAAGGCTGACAGCAAAGGAAACTAGGATTCAAAGCCACAAAACCTACAATACCTGATCCTGAGGAGGTCTACCTAGTCTGTTCCTATGAAGAATTTAATTGTATCCCTTTGTTCTGGCTCCAGAACCTGGGAGAGGAGGGGGGATTCAATATATTTTAATCTTTTTAAATATATTTTTATTGATTTCAGAGAGGAAGGGAGAAGGAGAGAGACAGAAACGTCAATGATGAGAGAGAACCATCGATCAGCTGCCTCCTGCACGCCCTGACCGGGAATCGAACCATGACCTTCTGGTTCATAGGGTGATGCTCAACCACTGAGCCACACCAGCTGGGCAATATATTTTAATCTTATTCACAAGATACCTTATAATTTTTCATAAACCAATTTTCTTTTTTAAAGAAAAAGTATTGGTTCTTTTTAATACACAGTAAAAGTTGTACTATCTTGAAGTTGAAATTTTCAAATGAGATCCTGATTTTCTTCCATCATTAAGAAGGTATTGAAATTAGTCTTTGAGACGCATTGTTACATGGTGTTACACAGAATTTCCTAATGTATTTTCCTACTTAAGCCTTTTAAGAAATCTGTACAATATTTATCACCACTCCCATTTCACAGATGGAAAGCCTGGGTTCAACAACAGGTCTCACAGCTGGCTCACAGTCAACCGGAGCCCCATGCCTGCCTCCTGCACCCCATGCTCCTCCATCCTTCCCACAGTCCCTTACGAAAGCCTGCTAGGGGCCTAGACGTGCCATGCTCAGATGGGGTGCTGTGTGTGAGGGTAGACGGCAGGTGTAAGGTTCTCCAAGGACAGATGGGAACTTAAGGTCACTTGACCCACCCCTGTCATTTGAAGAAACTAAGGCTCAGAGGTTAAATAACTTGCATGATCTGTGAGGCAAGAAGTGCAGGGGGCGGGTCAGGCCTTCAGCCCAGGCAGTCGGACTCCCAGGCCGGCACCCCAACTGCCTCTCTGGTTTCAGTGCTGCAGTTTGTGCTCACAAAGTGTTTGTTTCTACCCCCACCCAGCCTGCCCCCTCCTCAGCCCTACAACACCACACTGCTGCCAGTGCTCCTTTTAAATTCAGCTTAGTCATACCCCTGGTTTGCTTGAGATTCCTCACCATGTCCCCATTAGCCTTCCCATTAAATCCCAGCATCAAAGATGTATTTCTTTTATAAATAGAAAAATATAACAAATGCAGGTGTGTTTTTTTTAAACTCCAAACTGCACCACGTAAGATCTGACCCGTGTCTGAGTCCCACTGTCCATGCACCACAGACGCATCAAACCACCCCCAAACCAGCCAGCGGCTTCCTCTGCGGGAACTGCCCTGCCTGCCCTTCTCTGCAGGACTGAGCGCCAGCTCCACTGGTGGCAAACCTTCCCCGGCCCAATTTAGCTTCGCCTCTTGAGGTCCTGCAGAAATCTGTCAGGATCTGTCACAACGTTGACCACACTGCGGTGCAACGGTTGAGATTTCTTGTCATTTTTCTGTAAGTCAGTGAGCTTCTTACAAATAGGTCTTTCAGCTTGCTACCCCCAGTGCCTAGCACAGTGCCTGGCACACAACAGACACTCAGTTAATGTTCCTGAGCTAAATGAGCAGATGAAGAGCAAATGACTTGGCCAGAAGAACAGAGCTGGCATTTGAGTTTCCTGACCAAGAATCAAACTGGCGACCTTTTGGTGCATGGGACAACACTCAACCAACTGAGCCACACCGGCCAGGGCAAGACTATTTCTTTTTCTAACAGGGACTCTCCAAAATATTATTCCGAAATCCCTGACTCTCTTCCTCCATCTTCCCATCTGTGAAATGAGGAGAATATTTCTTGCCCCAGAAGGCTTGTAGCTGCATATTGTTAAGATTCAAGGTTTATCCTCTTGGCTTCAAAATTCTTCCAAAGAGGGATGCTTATTTCTCCTTTTTAACCCGGTTTCCTGTTAGATTAAAAGGATTTATAAACAGGAATTTTTTTTAAATTTAGCTTCTTTCTAATCTTCGACCTTAGCACTTTAGTATGACTGAGGCAGGTTTTTCCTGCAATAATTTTTGTTAAACCTTTCCATGTATCCAGGGGTGAATTTTTTACTGCATTGGGCCAACTCTGCTTTGTCTCCACAAGCAGACATGCAAAAGAAAGAAAATGACTCAACTGCTCCGGCTTTTTGATGTTTGACTAATTCATCAGCTACAAACACTAAGTTACCAAGTGAGAAACACGACGGGTAAAAAGCCCTCCCGTGAGGAGAGAATGTCAAACAAATGAGCAGAAAATGAATTGTCTCTTCCCAAAGCAGCGTGGGTATTTGATAATGAACTGAAAAACCGATTGTCCCTAAAGGGGCTTCCAGGAGAGACTTCCAGGGCCCTCCACACCAGATTCCTTCCCTGCAGCTGAATTGAAACTATAGACTAGTCAGAGATCCAGGGGACGAAGGCCAAGGGCTGGTTCATCAGACACACGGGGCTTCCCCGGGGTCACCGGGTCCACCTGCCACATCTCTTCGGCCACTAAAGAGCCGCCCTTCCAACACTTCTGAGAAGATTCGTGATTCTCAACCCTGGCTGCACATTAGAATCAGCCAAGAAGCCTTAAAAATGCCGGAGCTCCAGGAAGTCTGATTTTAATGTCTGAGGTTAGGTCCTGGGAATCGTCCATTTTAAAGCTCCGTGAAGAATTCTAATATGCAGCCAGGATTGAGAGCCACAGTCATGGAGATCTGGACAGTAGGATTGCAAGCAGCTTGCGAAACTCAGAGAAAGAAGGAAGAGGGAATTAAATGTGATAAGAAACCCAATCCGTGATAATCCTGGACACGCCACGAAAGGCCAATCTCACCCTTTTGCTCCCTGCCTGACTTTAAACCCTCAGTGCCTCCCATTTGTTCCCAAGATAAAAACCAAAGTCCTTACGCTACCATCAAGGCCTAGGAGGTCTGACTCCTCCCCACCCTTCCCACTTCGCTCAGTCTCTGCTCTCATCACACTGGCCCTCCCCCAAGTCCTTGGAGGCACCTCGCTTCCTTCCACCAGCTGGCCTTAGCCTATGACATTCTTCTCCCTGCCACCCCTCACCCCACCTCCACCCCGTTTACACCTGTGAACGCCAGGCACTGAGCCCTGCACAGGTGGAGGGGATGAGCCTCCCACAAGAGGATAATGAAGAACCTAAATTGCTCGGCGCTGTGGCTAAGCCACCCAGCTTTCCAGGGCCGTTCACACTGGTAGCAGACTTCCTGGCCACTTAAGTTAAAATAAGATGACATAAAAAGAGACGAAACAACTAAGAACATTGGATTCTTAGTTGGATTCAAAAGGCATGGACTGCTGGAGTACTGGCACTTCTTTTGGTCTTACGTGCTTTTGTTGTGTGTTAACCGAATAGGAAAGTGAAGATGAACTGGACTATCACCAAGAAGCAGGAGGACCCCTCAGAGAAGATCATCAGGACACCCAAGGTAGAGACACAGCTGGGCTGGGCTTTAGAATCTTATCACAGTAACTGCCGGATGAAGTTCGCCCCGCTCAAAGACACTAATGGGGAGTGACCACCCTTCCATTTCCTCCCAGGTCATGGGTTGGAGTCAGAATGCAGACCAAAGTGTTCAGTCTGACTCTGATGGGTTCTTAGTGCATCACAAGCCAACTAATTGATAATAACATGCTTTTACTTACTGAACGATTTCCTTCCTGCCAGTGGCTGCAGATGGATGGAAGAGAGTGGAGATGGGGGGGGGGGGGGGGGGGGGATTTTTCTTTGGAGGAGGTGCATTTTTTGAGAAATCCAAGTATGTTGTTTGTGGAAGGAGCTAGCGATTAGGCAGCTTCTAATTTTTTTTTTAAAACTAATTTTCTATTCTTCAAAAACATTTTCTAATTCGTTTTAATAGATCATTACAAAAAGGCCCCGCAGGCACCTCCCTCTGTGTTTCCTGCTTTCACAGGGCCTTGGACATGCAGGTGAGGGAGCTGCAGTTCCCTGCCTGGAGGGATAATATCCCGTCATCAGACGGGGAACAGCACCTTTAGAGACCCAGAGCTGCTTGAGGGTGGCCTCCTCCAAAAACGATGCTCCATTTCATAATGATGATGAGTCCAGGAAATACTGGGCCCAGAACTGGGCTTTTTAGCAGAGTTCATAGTCCCAGTCCCTGAGCGAGACACTAAGCTCTCCCCTGGGCGTACCTGGGTGTGCTGCTGGGTGACGCTGCATAGGGTGGGCTCAGGTAGCAGAGCTGTTCTCTCTCTTCCTCGCTTCTTGCAGGAGTGAAAGCACGTGTGAGAGACTCGAGTTCTCAAGGAGCGAATGCAGGGTGGGCCCGCCTGGGTTCTGCTTGTAGTTTGCTGTACAAAGGCGTCCAGCAGAGAGAGCAGGTGCGAGCTGAAATCCTGCGCTGCCCACTAAGCTATGCACCAGGCCTGCGTGCGCCCACTCAGAAGGGCTCCTTTGCCCACGTGGCCCTCGTACTGGGGCGCCTTTTCCCTAATTCACATCAGATGCTCTGTTTAAGCTACAGCAGCGCTCTGGCAGCTGAGTGGAGAGCATGGGCTCTGGAGTAGGACTACCTCCACCTCAACCTCTCTGCCTCAGTGCCCGCAACTGAGGCTGAAACCACAAGGTTGCCTGAGGACTAAATGAAGTAATTCATGTACCGTAGTCCTTTAGTGACTCTCCCTGGGGCACCTGGACCCCGTGGGTGAGAGAGACCAGAGGAGCTTATTGGAGATGAATGTGCGGCCATGGGTTTGGGATTTCACCCTGAACCTGATCTTTCCCTGTTTACATCTTTTGCTATCACTTTCACTTGGCATTCTAGAAAAAAAGTCATTTTCATGCTCATTTGAAAATGCTTCACTGCTCTGGATATGAGACAATACCATATTATGGTAGCCCAACCCCTGGGTTTGGTCGAGCTTTTAAGGAAGGTTCCTGCTGACACAAGTATCCTGCCGCCTCCATTTTCACAACTGAGTGACAACAGCCAGGGAAACTCGCTCCAGTCCTCACATCTTCGTATCATAAATCCATGTGCGGAGTGTGAACACTAACGAGGCTCCCAGGTCCCCGCCAAAGGCAATAGAGGGTTAACAGTGCAGAACATGGCCAAATCTAAGCAACAACCAAGTCAGTCAAACACATTACCTGCCTCATGGCAGCGGGGCAGGCTGCAGCTGAGCTCCATAAAGGTCATTCACACAGTCCTTAATGCAGCGAAATGTCACTGCAGAACATTAAAGAAGGCATTTGCCTGTCAGGAACGATAAATGCTAATGTTTAAAAAGAATTTCCAATCTTTTAAAAATAGTGGGTGTGGAAGGGCTGGAGGGTGTGTTTAGGCAGCATTACAGTGGTCAGCAGCACTGATGATGGAGCCTGGTTCCCTGGGTTCAAATCCTAGCTCCACCACTTACTGTGTGGCTTTGAGTAAGTTACTGAACTTCTCTAGGCTTTTTTCCCCCATCCTCTGTAAAATGGGGACACTAACAGTACTTATCTCATGGAGTGGTTGTGACATAAAGGAGTTAATGTGTCATCCTATATAATAAAAGACTAATATGCAAATCAACCAAACGGTGGAACGACCAGTTGCTATGACATGCACTGACCACCAGGGGGCAGCCGCTCAACGCAGGAGCTATCCCCTGGTGGACAGTGCACTCCCACAGGGGGAGTGCCACTCAGCCAGCAGCCAGGCTCACGGCTGATGAGCGCAGTGGCGGTGGCGGGAGCCTCTCCCGCCTCTGTGGCAGTGCTAAGGATGTCTGACTGATGGCTTAGGCCCGCTCCCCACGCCATCAGTCATTAGTTGGACATCCCCCAAGGACTCCCGGGCTGCAAGAGGGTGCAGGCCAGGCTGAGGGACACAACCCCCGCCCCCAGTGCACGAATTTCATGCACTGGGCTTCTAGTGTGCTTATAAGAATGCCTGATGCAGAATAAGGACTCACTAAAGATTAGCTATCAATCTATTTCTTTAAGACTTTATTTTAGTAGCCATGAATTGCACTTTGTCAGGAGGGACTAGCTCTAAGTTGGTAACATGATTTTTTTAAAATATATTTTTATTGATTTCAGAGAGGGAGAGGGGAGAAGAGATAGAAACATCAATGATGAGAGAGAATCATTGATCAGCTGCCTCCTACACACCCCCTACTGGGGATTGGGCCCGCAACCCAGGCATGTGCCCTTGACCTGAATCGAACCTGGGACTCTTCAGTCCGCAGGCCGACGCTCTATCCACTGAGCCAAACCAGCCAGGACCATGATGATTTCTTTACTTTCCAAATCCGTCTCAGTGGGGTGGGGATTGCTGAGTCTGGGGGAACTGATGGAGTCCTCTCTGTAAGTCTTTTTTTGCTTAAATCCAGGTGTGGGTAGCAGACCCAATCTGAGAAAGCAGCCTTACCAGCCTCTGCATTCTGTGAAAGGTTATGTACTAGTTTATCTGATTTTAGCCTCTCTGTAACCTTATGAGATAAAGTACATGATCCCTGTTTCACAGATAAGGAAAATGAGGCTCAGAGAGGTTAGGCAACCTGCCCAAGGTAACAGCCAGTAAACGGAGGAGCTGAGGTATGAACTCGGGTTCCTATCACTTCAAGCCGTTGGCTTTTTAAAAGAGCTGTAACGACATCCATGTGTTTCTGATTAGGAAATAGGTACAAAGTCAGAAATGTCACAAAATTATGGCAGCAGTTTTTTTAAGCCAGCATGAATCTGGGAGATTATTTACAATCTCTAGAAATCGTTTTATATTACAGATAAATGAAGTTGAGGTCTAGAAGTCAAGACAATTATGCAAATTGCTGCTAATTATTAAAACCAAGGCAATCCAAGTCTCTACTCAGTGTTTGTGGGTGTTTAGTTCAATTTAGTTTCGTTTTCATGGCCTTTGCTCAGGGGCAGTCCTGCCCCCAGGAGTAAACAGCTCCAGAAGACACAAGTGTACTGACTGCGGGTTGCTGTGCAAAGAAGTGAGGGGTAGCCAGTGTTGCAAAGGTTTCTCTTAAGCGGTGGAGAAAACAGAGACCAGAGTGTGTGCTCAGAGGCAGTGCCCCTGCCCCTAGAATCTGCAGCCTGGAAGGTGAGACCACTGCAGTGTCACCTCATGATGTTGGTCGGGGCTCCTCGCACCCTGGACGGCACCGTGCAAGGCCTGTGCAGTCACTGGACACGGCCAAGCTCTGCTATCTGGAGCCCCGGTACTGGGTTCAAAGAGCTGGCTAGTCCTCAGCAACCCACATGACCTACACACTCTGTTGCTGCTTTATTTTTCCTTCTAGAAAGTTCTCCTCCAGAACAGGAAGTGGTGCCTCCTTAAGAATGTTTCTGGCCCTGGCTGATTTGGCTCAGTGGATAGAGTGTCCGCCTGCAGACTGAAGGGCCCCAGGTTCAATTCTGGTCAAGGGCACATGCCCAGGTTACGGGCTCAATCCCCAGTAGGGGGCATCAGTGATTCTCTCTCATCATTGATGTTTCTATCTCTCTCTCCCTTCCTCTCTGAAATCAATAAAAATATACTTTTTTAAAAAAAAAAATAGAATGTCTCTGGCTCACTCCATCAGCCCAGGATGAGAACCCCAGGACACAGCTATTGCCCTTGACCCTGAAAATTCTCTTCACCTTCCAGGAAGTAAAGCTCACTTCTATTTTGACACCAAATTATTCAAAACCAAACAAGGACAATATAAAAAAGGAAATTTATAGACCAATCTCACTTATGATCAAAGATGTAAAACTCCTATAAAATATTAGCCAATGAAATCTTTAGATCTATCTAGATAGATAGATAAAAATAGATAGATAAACATATAGATATATAGATATAATGACTGAATTCATTTTATCCCAGGAATTCAGAAAAGATGATCTAACATTTGAAAACATGTTTATGTAATTCACATCAAGAGGTAAAAAAAAATTATTTACCAAAAACTTGCAGTAAACATCACACTTCAGTGGTAGAACTTTAGAAGTATTCTCTTTAGAAACAGGAGTAGGATAAGGATGTCCTCGCTCATTGTTTCTATTTCAACACTGTACCAGCACAGTAGGGAAAGGGAAAGGAAAAGGATGAAAAGAAGGAAATAACACTGTCATTATTCCCAATAGTATTACTTACATGGAAAATCCGAGGGCCTCTACAGAGATAAGCTATTAAAAGACAAACCATTAAAAGACCCCAAAATTCAGCAAGATTACTAAATGTAGATCAATAAACAAAAACCATTGGTGGGAAAAGGTTGTTTTAAAACATAAAGCATGATTTATAATGCAATTTTGAAATAATTGTTATGGAAAACCCCAAACATACACAAAGGTGAATAGAACAGTACAATGAATCCCATGTCCCCATCTCCTGGCCAATATTGTTCACCTATATCCCCAACTCATTCCTCCTTTCCATGTTATTTCTAAACAAATTCCAGGCTCATATCCTTTTACCCATATACTTGA